CCCCAAAACCCCAAAACCCCAAAACCCCAAAACCCCTTGAAAACAAGCTTCTATTGAAATTAACTGGTTAAATCGAATCATTTAATGGATTCCAATTGGATGAAAATTAATAGCATTGCTTTTACATTGTCATATCCAAAGGACCCTCGTTTGGAATATCCAATTCGCCATTTTTGAACTCGTTTGCTATTGTCTGCAGAATGAAATAGTACTTAGCATATTCTAAATAACAGTTAGAAATTTTATGAGGCTGTAAAAACTCCCAAAATATGAGTGATTTTAAATCAAAGGCCTTACCTGCTCCTCTGATGTGGAGTTTGTAATCAATCAGTTCTAAGAATATCTTCTCTAAGTTATTTACTTCTTTCAAAGTTATATCAGGCATGACCTGAGGGAAGTGAATATTTTCAAGAGAATCATCATCCCATACTTTACTTGCTGTTAAGAGAACGGTGAGGACCACTCTTCTCCAGTTCCAGTGGTTGATAAGCATGCCTGTTTGGGTCATGAATCTTTCAATGTACACAAGAGCCATCAGGGGAATTTCTTTTTCCATTTTGCATGCGAGTACCACATATTTTCAATAGTAATAAACCTCATCTTCTGTTGGTTTATACTCTGTAAAAGGGAATGAAGGGATTTCACCATCTTCGTTAAGTATCATTCCATCATGCTCAAAGTCAAAGTTGAAATGAAATAAGAACATTTGAGTCTCTACATAATCTTTAAAAGTACTCTTATTCTCTCTGTCCAGTAAAACTTCCTGACTTTCAAATAAGTTAGACTCGTTCAGCAGAGCTGGGTTAATAGTCGGGGTAATATCCTGATTCATTATCCTCATCCCATCACTATAACTTGCAACATCTCTTTTGCGATTTTTATTCTGAATGGTAGGTTTATCATGATGTACCACTTCGTTTACTGGAGATCATACGTCTATGATCCCTGATTCAGATCTTTCGAATTCATCATCTTCATTCTTCCCCTTTTCTTCTTCAGCAGGATCGTTTTTCTGTTCAGATTCAAGCTCTATCTTTTCAACATTATCATCATCAGGAGGGTCTCTTTGCCGAGACTTTACGCCAGAGAGTAATCCAATACTGTTGAATTGACCAACTCCAAGAGCACTTGCATTTGACTGAGAGTAAGCAAGAGAGTTACTCAGAGTTGCACCAGTGTGATGACTCATTATTCTATCAGGATTTGAGGATAAAATATCTGAGCCGGCTCTTCTAGTTAAAACTTCATTTGATTCCTTCTTTGGATTCTGAGCATTTTTCTGGTTATTTGAGACATTTTGCAGAAACTCGTTTATTAAATGATCTGTCTGTTGTGGATTAAGAGTATTGTTTCCATAATCAGAAGGCTCATCATTTGGATTTTCTAGCCCTTGCTTAAAATTAGCATTCTTATTATGTTCATTGAGACTTCTCATGAACTCCTCTAAATGTTCGTGGCTATAATCTATCTCTTCATCAGGGACAGATTGATCCTGGGGTTTGTCAGGATATTCAAATACTTTTCCTGTTTTGTGTTCCTCTTTTGGAGGCTCCTCTCCAAATATGCCAGCAATTTTGTTGAAATTCTCTGTGTTTTTGATTTCACCTTCTTTTCTCATCTCTGCTTTCTGTTGAGGCGTAAGATCTGATTTCTGAATATCAATTTTTAGATTATTTCCTTGCCCATATGAGAAATTTACTGATTCTTCTGGAATTCCATGTTCTGCATAGATCTGCTTAGTCACATTCTTGAGATCCTCAAGGAATAAGAATCCTTCTGAGAATTCAATGTGTTTTCAGATAGCTTTGGAGAATCATTTTCATAATCTTCTCATATCAATATTTCCAATTGCTTGGTGGATCTGTTTAGAATCAAGACTCTGACCTAGCTGTTTGAGTTTTTCTTTAGTAGACTTATCAATCATTGGGGATTCTGGGACATGTTTTTCAAGCTCCTCTTGCGAAGGGGTACAATCAGCTATGACCACTGTGCTTCCATCTAAATTATCATTCGCTGGAGCATAATTTGAAGTGAATTTGTTCGATTCAAATTTGCTATCCATCACAGCAGGAGGTGAGTCTGTAATATTAGACTCTTCTTTCTGCTCCTCTGCTTTATTTTGATGTATCTCTGGAGTGCCATTATCTGCCATAACTCCGCCTTGATCCTCTAAGGATTTATGGATTTGCTCATTCCTTTTAGTTTCTTCTTTGTGTTCTGGTCTTGTACCTTGAAAGGAATTCTATACTGAGATTAATGTACTTACTTGAGGATCATCAAACTCAAAATCATCTTCGTATTCGAAATCGAATCCGTCATTTTCAGCACCTGTGTATCTTGACTTTGCAGGCTCAGTATTCTGCTTATTTTAAATGCGAAAGAAGTTCTTCATTCGTGGCCTCTTTATTGCTAGCATATTTATTAGAAGATTCTTCCAGATGGTTTGAAGAGCTTTCCATCTCTTTTGTGGTATCCTCTAAATGCAAGATTGCATCTTGAGAAGAAATATCATCAGAAATATTTCTACCAGGTTCAGTTTGACCTAAGCCTTCACCAGAGTTAGAGGCTTCAGCAGTTGTATGAAGTCTATCTAAAGTTTGATTTGCAGTGCTCTGAGGAGCATCCTTCTTTCTTTTCTTTTGATGCATGGTCTGAATTTCCCTCTTTCTTTTCTTTGCAAGCTCTTTTCTTTTCTTAATCTTTTCTTGTTTTACTTTCTTTTGGACCTTATCCTTTTTAACTTCTTCTTTCTTCTTACTTTCTTTAAGCCTTTGCTGAGCTCTCTTCTGTGCAGATACAATATCTTTTTGCTTGAGCTGAGATATATTGCCAACTGCATTTCCAGCATAATGATGAATAAGGCTGTCGATCTCTTCATCAATGCTCTTTGTAATATGAGTTTTGTCCTTGGTTACATCCTCTTCATCTTCTTCTTCGATTATAGCTTGATTTGTCCCGATATTATATATAGAGGGAACACTTGTCTCTTCAGAATAAGCAAGAGCTCAATTACTTAATATATCCTCATATCCAAATTGATCAGGTGGGAAAATACTCTGAATGACAGGCATGGGTGTAACCACTTGGTTGGAGATATTAGCAATGTTCACACCTCCCTTAACTTTTAAATTATCTAAAAATCTTTGGTTGATCATCTCTTTATTTATAAGGATCAAGTCTTTCATATCTTTTGATTAAGGATTTCTTCTTTTTCTTTGTCTTATGATGAATTTTATTTGAAGTTGCTAATATTCTGTTGTCTCTAAATTTTGTATACTGGGTAGAGAGGCCAGGTTTCTTTAATTCTCTCCTTGCGCTATCTCTGGGGTAAACTGCTTCGAGAAATGTGAACATGTCCTCAAATTTGAAGGCATGACCTGGGAGAGGTCTTAAGTCTTCTATCAATTTATCCCTTTCTTTCTCAGTTAGTATTGCAAGCTTGTATACCTCCATGCCAAATCCGAATTCTCTCATCTTCTTTGCATACTGCTGAAGTTTGAAAGCTTGGAGCAATTTAAAAATAAGTGTTTGATCTAGAGGGACTTCTTCATATTCCATGCTGGTCTCTTCTGACATAATCTCGCTCAGCTTATGAGATGCCGGCTCTGAAACTGGAGAAATGTAATATTCCGTAGATGCTCTATTAACGTTCCTCCTAGTAGACCCAGCAGTGCTCTGGCGCATACTATTCTTAGAATGTAGTCCTGGTGTCTTACTTGACTTTGGTCGATTGTTGGTGTTAACTATTGACTTTGCCTGCTTTAACTTCTTTTCATAGATCTTCTTTCTTCTCTCCTCCTCCCACTTTTTCATTAATTTAAATTATTTTAAAATATTTTGCAAATTTTAAGTTTTATTGGGGTTTTGGGGTTTTGGGGTTTTGGGGTTTTGGGG